TAGTTGCTTCCATTGTCGGTTATGATTTGAACGATATTTTGTTCTCCAATTTCTTCCACGAAGTTGTCAAGTAAATCATATATCTTGTCTCCAGATTTTACAAAAGACGAAGCATCTATTGACTTCACAAACATAGTCCCTAAAGAACAATTAACCATAAAATTAATTATACTCCTGCGCCTCCTGTCAGTCCAAACATCTGACATAATAGAGCAACTATGTGTTGCCCATGATTCTTTATGACCCTTTAGTAAGTCATTTGTATAATTCAACTCTTTTTGCAACAATGGAACTCGCATCTCATAATAACTTGAAGGTTTTAATCCTGCACCATATCTTCCAATAGCTTCAATCATATCCTTAAAACTGTCTAAACGAGTTGTACTAAGGGGAAGACCAGCCTAATAGAAGAAGCGAGCAATGTGCTGAATTGTTCTTCCTCTTATTTCTTTATCACAAGCATCACTTATATTTGTTTGTCTAAATTTTGAGCCTTCTGCTTGCCCTTGTTGTTTCTGGGATCCTTGAAACATATATAGATCCATCGGTCCTTTTTTACCTTTCTTAGTACTCATAACTTCTTTTCCTTTTTTGTCATATACTTTTTTTTCACTTGGGTTAATACTCATAGAATAATCTTCTTCTTCATCCCTGAGATGTTCAACATTGTCTTCTGATAAATTCCCGTAAGATTCATTCTTTTGTGTCTTCTTTTCATTCATATAACTCAGCAACTCTTCTTTTACCTCAGGTGGACACTTTTTGCAAGCTGCTGCATTCTTGAAATTTCCTACTAGATGTTGTTTTGCACGAAAAATACCACCTCTAGTAGTCTTATAACAGAATATGTAAGTCACTGCATTATGATCTTTCGGATCCTTCAAAAAATTATACTTCCATGCAGGATCTTTTTTTGATACCATTGGAGACTCTATTGAGTTGCTCTCTACACTTGTCATTTATGTTGAAACCTAACAATAATTTCAAATAAATAAAAATTAACAATATTAAAATCAAAATAATATATTATTAATCTATTAACAGTATTGAAAATTAATCATTTCAAATAAACTTATTATTAACAGTATAAGCCTGCTGATTGAGAAAAAAGGAAGCAACAGCGGCGAGCGACGGCAGCGGCGAGCGACGACAGCAGCGGCGGCAGCGGTGAGCAACAGCAGCGGTAGTGAGAGCGAGAGCGGGAGCGGCGAGCAGCGGGAGGCGCGAGCGGTGACAGCGGCAGCGTTTGCGAGCAGCGACAGAGGCGAGCAATGGCAGCGGGAGCAGGAGCGGCGAGCAGCGGGAGGCGCGAGCGACGACAAAGGCAGCGTTTACGAGCAGCGACAGCGGCGAGCAGCGGGAGGCGCGAGCGGCGACAACGGAAGCGTTTGCGAGCAGCGATAGCGGCAAGCAGCGAGATCGGGAGCGGCAGCGGCAGTGACGAGGGTTAGGGTTGGGTTCTCACTTATATCGATTTTAGTTGGTTCGATTGAACCAACTAACCATCAGAGACTGAACCAGGACCGAACCAGACCTAAAATCCTGGTTCAGTCGCCTTGGTTAACCCAGGCACTCGCCCGAAGCGCCCAGCGCCTGGGCTCGGGCGAGCGCCCAGGCGGAGCCTGTTTGAAGCGCGTCGCTTGGGAGATTAGCGAGGCGCTCAAGCCTCGCCTCAGCTCGCCCGGGCGCCTAGGCGAGCGCCCGAGCGCCTTGTTAAATCACTACATGCAAGACATAGATTATGCGTCATTGACATTACGAATGGACTCAAGTCTCCCAAGAGTGATGAAATATCCAATCGAGTATGGAAATAGCACCATTCACATGTAATTCACTATAGGCCAATGTTGACACATGTTGCATGGTTTACTGCTTATAATTACAGCGAGCAACTTCTACTATAATAGCTGGTGAATGAGAGAATCTTGCAACTCATATAACAGCACCTAGCAAACTGCTGTTCAGAAATATGCTCGAAGTGCCAAAATGACAAGGTCCATCATGATTGTAAAAAACCAAATTAGATCTATCAGTCTATAAGCAAAGACTACAATATTAAACCTAGATCATACAATAATTCAATAATAAAATTCATGGTTGAAGCCATAGCAGAATTGGTACCGGAATCTGGATAAGCTATGAACAATATGATCAAGACTGGCTTAGGATGATCAAACCAGATTGGTGGCAATGGAATCGGTTGAGAAAATAATTTCATAATAAAACACAAAAAAATACAAAAATGGCAAAACACAAAGATACAAAATATGATCAGAAAATAAAAAATGTGCTAAAAAGGTTTCTATCTTCACATTTACAATATGTCTATCTTTTACAAGAACACATATGAAATTGAATTATAATGAATAAAAAATTTATCGAATTTACCTAAAAATATTACCCATTTTTATCTAGGAGTTTCCCTCTTTTCAGAATTTACCTGAGGATGGCTCAATATGTTCAAATACCCAAAAGCCCATGAACCGGTTCACTGAATTATCCAGTTTAAATGAACTAAATTGATTCAGATTCCATCAAATTAGATTTAGGAAGTTCCTAAAATAACCAAAATACAACAAACAGAATAATTGTTTAAGTCATGTTTTCCTTTGACACTAAAATTTTGTGGTGAGTTGGACAAACTTTATGGTGTTCCAAATTGTGTTACACTAGATTGCATAATCAAGATAAAAATGTATCAAATTGGACTACAAAATTCACTAAAATTAATTTAAAAAATATAAAAATCAATGGAGTAACTATTTATATTGATGATTAAAGTCTGAGTCAAAAATCTGAGGTGAGTTGGAAAAAAATAATGGGATTACACTTATAAATGAATTCAATTGCAGACTTAACTCGATTGCAGAATCATAGAGTAATTTATTTTCATTTCGATTCTGAAATCAAATGTAATAAAATTCATTTATGGACATAACACCATAAATTTATTCAACTCACATCAATCTTTCAGCATATATGATATACTTTTTTTTATTTTAACATAATTTTAGGAATATTTGAGTCAAATTTGACACGCTTTTATGTTGATTTTGTAACCGAGTATACCGCAATTCATTTATGAGTATAGTATAGTACCATAAAGTTTATCAAACTCACCTCAATCTTTTGATATGCCAGGAAAATATGATACAAACAGCGATTCCGTTGTTTTTTTTATTTTAGGTGATTTTCAGGTTTTTTAGGTCTAAATTCGGCAGATTCACACTCAAACCCTATAACCCACGTAATAATCCTTAAAAGGCCAAGGACATATTTTTACATATAATAATCCTTAAGAGCACCCCCGGTAGATTTTGAAGAAAGGGGTAAAAACCAATATTTAAGATCAAACTCCAAATCCTATGGCATTTTTATTCTCTTCATTATCATCTTTATTTCATTAGATATGAACAATTAGTGTTTATCCTTTCTTTTCAATTTTTAAACACTTTTGTTATCTATCTTACATGGGGGGTGGATGACAAACATTACAACAATGGTAGCAGATGGCAAATAAAATGGTTACAACAAAATACAAACAATAACAATATCTTTAATATATTTCACAAAGATGTTTTTGTTACTTGTGTTTGATCAATTCATATCCATTTGTGACTGACTGCCAACCACATGATTAAGAAATCAGCCAAAATAAAACTAGCCGAAACCTAATCGCTATTGAAAAGTACCGATACTGATTAGAGTTGGTAAACCAGAATCAAGCAACATTGCCAACTATGACCGAGAGAGTAGGCCATCTACAAAATCGCATATAATGAACTAGAGATGCAATATGATAGATCTTACAGCTAGACATTCCGAAAGGACCAAATAGTGTCTAACATCACAAGCTACTATTTGAATACTCAACTAAGCACAAAGAAAAAAAGAAAATGATCTGGAGATAGCAGCATAACAAAAAAATTTCTATAAAGGAAGAGCAAAAGCCAGACCATCTATCTTTGTGGCATCACATGAACAGTCAACAAGTCTTGCAGACCCATTTCCGCAGCCCACAAATTCCTTAGGTCCAGAAGTTGACCTCCCCACACACTGCACCGTCTCAATCCCACACACTCGATTACCCTGACTGTTAAGTACACTGATTTCTCCCACATTCTTCCCCTGCATCCCTGGATAAAGGCAGTAAACCTGATCATCACAACAGAAACCACATGAATTTAGAACCTGAGCACCACCCAGCATGTTTGCTTGGGTAGCATTAGAAACAAAATCCCCACTCCCTTTCGCTGGCTTCTGATAAGGAAATGATCCAATCTCTCCTTCAATCCTTCCCCTCATATCCACAAGCAAGCATCTAAGCCTTGCAACCTCAGCTTCCAAAGCAGCTTGGCCTTGAAGCCTCTTCATCAGTTGCTGGTTGATTGCTCTCAGATGAGCAACCTCCTCCTCCAAGGATGCAGCATGTGCCTTCTTCTTCTGCCTATACTTCCGAACAGCTTCTCGATTACCGCAAGACCTTTTCTTTGTAGAAGAGCTCTTCTCCATTGACTCGGCAGCTTCATCAGGGGGGGCCGAGACGATCTTGGTGTGGACATGGAAGCAGGTATGTGTGTGTGAGAGAGGGTTGCAAGTGTGGGTGTGGGTGCATGTATGCTGTTGCCCGTCATTGAAGATGTCATCGAAGAAACTATCTATCGAGCGGCTGCCCGGAAGATCATCACCAGCGTTGGGTCCAGAGAAGACATCAGGATTCGAGAAATCGATGTCTCCGTCGTCCATGACCAAGCCCACAGTTCCTGAGATGGGAATTGGGGCTTCCTAACTGATGCCAACACAAAAGACAAAGCCTTCGAAAGGGCTCCGATCCGATGAAAGACAACGAACTAATCGATCATAAAAACTTCCAGATCATGAGCGCGACTCCGAAGTGAACGAACTCTGGGGAAGAAAGAAAGCCGGCGGAATACCTCAAAATCGATCACGCAGGAGAGCCATGAGGCCCATCAAACAAGAACTCCGGCGTCCAACCAAGAGGGTTTCTCTTCTCGCCGAAACCCCCCAACCAAGAGAGCAAAGACAGAGACGAGAAGAGCAAAAAGAACAGGAATGTAAGAGAGTATTTCGGAAGGAAATAGCTCGCAATCTTTCTGACCTAAGCATGGATCGATGGAGCCCTAGCGAAATATTACTTTGAAAAGAAGCAAATAAGGAGGATTGGCTGCAGCGGAACGCCGAACCGCCGCTTTCCAGGATGAAGATGACGTCAGGCTTCAATGGTTCCCCAGCGCTGAGATCGATCAGAAGCCGTTTGATCGACAGCCAACGTCCATCTGCTGATGCGCTTAGTCAAACGTCAAAACAGCTAAAGTCAACAATATTATAAGCATTGACTATGGTCGTCCCGGGAAATATATATAAATACAAATATGCCCCTTTTCGCTTCATTTATCAACAACGTGGCATGCATACCAACATCATTAACATTGTTAGCTTAAGTATCACAACAAGAGACTGCTACTTTGGGTACAAATTTTGAGATGATTGCAAGATCAAACCAAGTATCATTTGCCATCACAATAACAAGTACTCATCGACGTCATTTTGAGATGAGTTACCAGTAGAATGCACAATGTTAACCAAGACTTTAGAGTAATTAAATTAAGGTACAGGAACAAAAGTACACAGTTTCTAAAAGCAAAAGAGACACATAGAAGATTACCCCAACAATTCCATGCAAAGAACGTCTATTGGAAAGAACATAGTCGTGAAGTCAGACACAGATCACAAGGGAGAAGGAAAAGACCAATCACCTAATGCTTCGGTTGTTTGTAGGCCACAAACAAGATCCGCAAAATGGAGCAAGGCACTTCCAAGATAGGGGGTCAGTCTATATTCACAAGATGGAGCAACTCGTATGTCCTTTCCCCTTATTTTTCTTCAGATTGGGTGGCTGAAGCACCACTTTAATGGCCGCATCAAAAACTGCCTTAACATTCTGCACATTGCAATTCATACCAAAGCCTGAGGTACCTCACTAAGGTGCAATGAATTCAAAAAGTTTCACATAGGGATGAGAACATACTTGCTGGGTCTTGGAGCTGCACTCGATGTAGGCTGCCGCGCCAATCAGCTTCCTCAACTCTTCCCCCTTGAATCATGCAAAAGTCATCATAAGCAACTCCAGCAATGCTGTTGAATGAATTAATACGATAAAAGGAAAAACGAAGTTAAAGCTGCAGATCTCCTGCAACAACTCTTACCTGAGCAGTACTCATAGGTACTGCACCAGGGTGATCTATAAAAAACTGCTTATCATCCCGGAGATCTGTCAACAAAAACATGCATGATTATTTGTGACATACAAAAATTAGAAGTCATCCTGCATCACCGAGATGGCATTAATTTGTATTGAGCAATGACCATCCGACAAGCAAATCGAGTTAGCATCATCAAGTGTGTGTTGTGGATATCCAGAGAAGAATGACCAACTCACAAAAAAAGATAATCTCCAAGCCAATCTCACTGGAAAATAGTTGCAGTTTTCTAGCTCATACACGGAAAGAAGACTTAAAAGCTGATTTTACGATGATGTCGTGAGTCAAAAATAAAACATTGTACCAAAGGATGTGAATCTGCAGGTGTGCCACTGCATAGCACCCACACACATACAATGATGAGTAACTCAAACTCGAATCTGTATGTGTTAATCTTCTCAAGGCTTTGAAGAGATGTGGCTAACCTAAAATCCCAACCTATTGATGTCTAAATGCTACAGTCCCACTACATATTTTAACAAACAACAACCAATTCGGTCCAACAGAACCACCACCACCAATTAATACTTTACCCATTGATTTGTCAGCTGTGATGTCTAAGATAAAGCAGAAATTCACAAGCTCAAAGAAAATGCATACCTCAATAACCACATTATTGATAAAAGAGCCATATAACAGAACTTTAAGCTAACATTTTCCTTCCAGTATGTTCATATCTTCAATTATTTCCTTTGCTCTCTCATATACAAGTAATTATGACATGAAGCATAAACAATAATCATAGGGCTTCAAATTTTGATTACGGTCTTCACAAGAAAGTCATTTTAGAACCCAACATAACAGAAACAATTGCCTCTCTTTGCAAGATTACTGCAATTTACTGATGTGCATCGCCAAGTGATTTTACCCATATCCATCACAATATCAGCTCAACCTTTTTTCAATAGTGTTAGCAATAATGCTTCTTCTAATTGCCCAAGATTTTACCCAAGCATACATCCACCCGTCTCACTTGTGTTCCCATGATCATCACTGACTCCAGTAGTTCTGTTTCAGATGAACAAATTATTTTCTTCTTGTATTTAACTTGGAGTTCTTTGAATTTTTTTCACAAGTATATCGTCCAAATGTTCCTCATACTGAAAACCATTAGTGCTTTCCTCCAAAACATTAATTCTACATTATAAAAAGCTGCCCCTCAAACTGCAGGAAAAAATATTGGCCTCCTAATACTCATACTTCTCAGCGCTAAATGGTGTTAATGGAGTATCATTTTCAGGAGGAACATAATAGCTCAATTAAAAACATGATCCCTTGTTGCCAGAATCTTCATACTCATGATTGAATACTAAGAACTCTGAAGGTGGAAGTTTAAGATGCATAGTTGGATTCATGGATCAGGTCCATCGGTCCAGGTCAAGAAACTTGGCCTATATAGATGTCAGTTCAAGTTCAAGTCCAGCAAATGTTCCTTTGGTTCCATTCCCAACTCACTAGACCCATTCCCAGCACTACTGAATTCCTCTATAACTTTAACCAGAAACAAAAACCTGGAAGTCACATATATGAATCAACAGTTGCAATGCATCAAACCTCCATAGAAGTTCTCCAACCCATGCAGAAATCTTAATTAATCACGGCAACATTTCTTCGCTAGAAAGATGATGAGAACCAACACAAGAATATTGCTTTACCCTATTAATTCTAGAAAAGTTGTTCCTTTCCACAATGTCCAGCATATCCGTGATCATGCTTAAAACAGGAATAATTATAATAAACATCACTAAGATCAGCCATCAGACTTCACAAACTGTAAATCAATCATGTTCTGCCTTCTGTCACATGTATATGTATATATATATATATACATATATACATATATATATGTATATGTATATATATACGTACATATATATACACATATATATATACATATATATATATATGTATATGTATATATATACATACATACATATATATATATGTGTGTGTGTATATATAAACCCTCCCTCCAAAACCTCATACAAAGAAAAAGAAAAAACATCAAATATACAAAAATTAATAGCCAGAATAAAAAGAAATCTTTCTCACAAGTATTGCAAAATTAAGAGATGCTTCATTATTGCAACATGTATCTCATGGACAATGGTGAAGATTGTAGCACTGGAGCATAACTTAGTAGCAGGAGGATCCCACGGAATGGAAGAGAGATATGCTGACCATAGCTACTGTTAAAATATGCAGTGTCCTTAGAGTATAGGTTAAAGAAAATTCCATTCTAATCCTTTTTTGTAGTATACCTCTTCAAAATAACATTAAAACAAATCAGTGCAATTAAACATTCAACATGAACAATGATATCCAAACTGTACACTTCATGAAACACAAAAAGTAGGCTTAAGATAAAGAAACAAATTAGCAAGAGCAGACTAGAAAGTCCCATTAGCATCTGGAATCTAAACCTAATGGAAGACATGATTCATATGGAAATACCAAATTGAAAATTTAATACTTAAGCAAAGTTCTACAAGTTCGTATGAATGTGAATCAATCATGTTATATTGTTACTATTAAAATGGCATATAATAGACAAAAATTACATTATAGCTTTTGAATCTAGCCCCAAATTATGTGCATTATACAAGCTAAACAATACAATTAAAGGGCACTTAGAAGTGACCTTGATTAATGGAAAATAGCTTTTCCATGATAACATATATATAGGCATTTTGGACTCTCCCAGCTAAGTTTGCTTCAGTATAGTGTAACAACACAATATGACAATAGGAAGTTCGACAACTTTGTGTGCTTATACATTATCATGTAATCACTGAAATTGTTTGGAGTTCAAATGTGCATAGATATAGCCATATACTTGACCAAAAAAATGGAGTCATGATGATTACCAAGCTTTGTTCCAACAAGAATTATAGGCACACCAGGTGCGTAGTGACTCAGCTCAGGAATCCACTGAAATGCAGAAAAGGGCAAATAAGGTAAGGAAAAGTAGAATGTTGACAAGTCAACAGCAAATACATGATAAAAAAAGAACTTAAATACAGAGATGAAGGTAACCAGTTTTTGCCTTCTTAGCCACATTTTCATAGCTCGCTTTACTTATCAAAGAGAATGCCAGCAAAAAAACATCTGCACCTCGATAGCTCAAAGGTCTAAGTCTGTTGTAATCCTCCTGGCCTGACCCATGAAACCAAGACAGCATAGCAGGCACATTATAATACATAAAAGGGTCAGTGACTACAGAGAAAGAAACAATATGAATAACCAACAAGAAGAAATGCTAAAGATTACCAGCAGTATCCCACAGGCCTATGTTAACTGTGTTACCATCAACTACAACATTAGCACTGAAATTGTCGAATACTGTAGGGACATAATCCTGTCTCCAAAAAATAATCATAATAATAACAAAGCAAATATTTAGGCATATAAAGGAAGGCTTTGCTCTCTAAGCTGTAATCAATGGTAAACGTGTTGTATGGTAAATATTTCATCAGATGAACATCATTGACATGCATTTCATAAGGGATTGGATGCCTCAAAATATGAACCTGTATGTTGATAAGCAGATTGTTACTTCCTAAGCTGGAACTCTTTCAGATCCAAAGATTCAACAACAGTAACTTTCCAATCAAATGCATCAGAAAAGACAATATGAGACTTAAAAAAAGGATGAAATTTTCTGAAATGCAACGCCCCAAACAAACCACAAAATAACAGGTTCCCAAATCAAGATCAGACCCTAAAAATGACGCAAAGCTTGCACCTTTCCCAGAAACTCGATGAGACCACCAAGAAGCACCAGACAAATCACAAAAGAAACGGACTTTTCAGTACTCACCGTGGGGAAAGTGTTGCTGGTGTACGATATGAGCATGCAGGTCTTACCGACGGCGCCGTCGCCCACCGTGACGCACTTTATGAACCTGGACGCACTCATCTCCTCCGCCTATCTCCTCCTCCCCTCAGAAAGCAGTCTTTTCTTCCTCCTATTCCACCTGCTGCAAGGAGCGTGAACCCGACTCGGCGCGGATTCAACGGGTACACATCTGAAAGCCCCAAGAGAAAGCCCCACGTTTGTCAGCCGACTCGAAAGCCTCCATGGATGGCAAAGGAACAAGAAGAAGAAAGCCCTAACCCCAGCCCCGGAAGGAGAGGAGATGCACAAAACGATCGCCTTAAGGTCCCCTTCTCTCCCTCTCTTTCCCTTCTCTTTCCTCCGGCTCCGTGAAGAAACGAAAGAGAGGAATAGTGGGAGAGAGAAAGAGAGAGAGGAAATGGGGAAGAACGGATCGGCCGGTAAATGGTGCGACGGAAGCGGTCGTCAAGAAGAACAGATTACATTATGCCATTAACAATGTGTGTCCGTTGTGTGAGAGAGAATTAATATTATTTAGAGGAGTAAAGAATGCATTCAATATACTTCCAACTCCTACCCAACGTCATCACCTCCCTCTCTCTCCTCTCCTTCAAGTTTAATTCTAAAAGAATAATTAACTGATCTCAGTTTAATTCTTGCTTAACAAAAAGTTAATTCTTACCTGAGAATCCAAATAATAGCAACCATAAAACAAATTTCTCAAGTATGTTATTATGTTATATATATAATAGTATTTAGCTAAATCAAAACTTATTATTATATCACTTCTAATGATTTTTTTGATATTAATACAACACATCAATTTAGCCTAAATCAAACTAAATTAATAAATTAATTATCGATTATGATAATTGATATTAGAGCTGACATAATATCTCTTACGATATGAAGTCACTATTGTATTAGTCCCACGAGCACTATCTCCATTTAATTTTCATCATATCGATGGTGGTATAAGACACAAATTGATTTATAAGAAACTAATAAATATATTATTTTAACTTGAATTTAATTATGAATGGGGCTCAATAAAATTAATGAGTCAATTGTCTCGTATAAAACAATTAGTATATACATTAATATCATATGCATTATATTTCGTTATTATAAAGTTAATGATCCTTAGTGATGTTAAAAAAAATATGATTCTATGTAGTAATTATTGTTATCATCTTAATTATATTAAGAAATGATGAATTAGTATAATAATATTTTTAATAATATTTTTAATTAATTTTAGAACTCAATCGATAAATCAATATATTTTAAAAATTCAATTAATCTAAGTTAAAGTTGTAAGTAAACAGAATAAAACAAAGTCACAAGGAAAAGGCAAGTGAAGAGAGACAAATCGATTTATAATAGTTCGATCTTTTCGACCTATCGTCACTCTTGATTCCTTTTCTCTCGATGTCACCGGCTTTCGTTATTAATATTCTTTCCAATAAACAAAAATCATTACAATTTTCTTCTTTTTCAAATTAAGAAAATAACCTTCATATTCTCTTTTTACACAAGATCTCTCACCTCCTATAACTTAAAATTATAATTAAACTTAAAAAGAGAAGGAGACTGCTTAATATTAAAGTTTATAATATTTTTGTTTAAGAATAGATGCTTCATCAACCAAGCTTGAGTAGGATATTCATAAGCCACAAAAGGCTTCAAGAATTAAGTAAAAAAAATTAAATCCTTGAATTTTCGAGGTACATGTGGTACTACTGTCGTAACTAGGTGGCTCTAACATACTACCAACGGCCTAAGTGATATTACCATCGATATAGGCGATACACTTATGAAAACACCAAAAAAGCACAAATAATGATTTTCGATTGACTCAAGCGGTACTACCTCTTGGGCCTAGTGGTACCACTATCCAGGCCTGATTTAGGTTACTGATTTGACCTTCTAACTGGCTTAATACTGACTGAAATTGGTCCATAATGATCTCGATTAAGACTTTAATAAATCAACCATACATGCGACATATAAACAAAGGTTTTGGTATGTTATATGCTATTTTGGCATATCATCCATTCTTTCGATACTTTGTCGAACCTTCGACATATTATCCTTTCCTTTGACACATCGTCCATTCCACCGACATATCGACTTTCTCACGATATCTAATCTTTCAACGCAATATTCGATCCTTTTAGCATGATGTCCAAACCTATAATACAAAGTCCGATATGCAACATGTCGACCAATCCTTTAACTCGACGTCTAATTTTCGGCATGGTAGTTTCTCAATACAACATTCGACTCTCCTACTCAATAGTTAACCCTTCGATGATCAATGTATATGATCGAAATATTTCTTACATCACTTATCTCAAAAGCATATTTAATCCAATAAATTTATTAATTAGTATCATCATCAAAATTCAGGATTCAACAATCTCTTTATTTTTAATGATGACAATCAATTGATAACAAGGTTTTAACAAGACTCCACTATTTATTTATCATTTTAAAATGTTATGATAAATTTGAACTCAAATGATCTTACATCCTTTTAAATACATACATTGAATTTAAATTGAAAGAAATTTGATGTTGTCAATATTATGATTTAATCATCCCAAAAATCAATGTTCAATTAAGTTTCAAATTTCAAGTTATAATCATAATCATTTTAAGTTTCAAAATTTAATAATTATCAATATTTAATATCAATCAAAATATAAATATAAGTTAACCATTTGCATAAATCAAACAATAATAACAAAAAAATCATAAGATATCATAACTCTCCCTATTAATACATGAGTCACCATTTTCCCCTCTTGGTTAATAAAAAATATGCTTTGTTAATAAAAAAAAATATGAGTTACTATTTCTCCTTTTTTATCATAAGTAAAAAGAATAAAGTAATACCATGGTATCATGGTACTATTCCCCCCTCCCCATCAATGTTTCAATTATGTAAAAATAAAAATTATATTAATATTATTATACATGAAGGACCTATGGATATTGAAAGATCAATTGATGGTGAGGTTATAATAAGATTCTCCTTATCCATATGCGATCTTAGAAATATGATAAATTTAAATTCAAAATAATATTTTTTCAATAATAGTCTTGAATTCAAGTTCAGACAAATTCGATCTTATTGGTATTATCATTGCAAGCCCAAATATTCAATTAAATTTTAAATTTTAAAAAATAATTACTAAAAGTTAGGCATGAGTTACTACTAATAAAAAGTTATAAAAGCATCATAAGTCTCCTTGTTCGGCATATAAGCTACACATGAATCACTATTTCGCTTACTTTATCATCAACAAAAAATATGAGTTACTTTTTTTTTCTTTGTCATCAACAAAATGAAGTATACAAGTCATGAATATAAAAGAGTTATACAAAATAAATCTCAATTCGTAAATACCAAAAAATCATGATTCAATTAGATAAATCTCCTTCTTAGTCATTAACAAAAGGAAAGAATCATAGGAGAACAAATAGTAAAAAGTCTTAATTTATGCAATATAAATATTAAGTTGTGAAATATCATGATTCGTTTAGATAAATCTCCTCCTTAGTCATTAGCAAAAAAAAAAACACAAAAGAATAAATAGTAAAAGATCTTGATTTATACAAATTAAATCTCGAATCATGATTCGTTTAGATAAATCTTCTTCTTAGTCATTAACAAAAAAAAAACAATCATAGGAGAACAAATATTAAAAGGTCTTGATTCATACAAAATAAATCTCAAAGTTATAAACACCGAGAAGTTAAATGAAAGATCATGATTTGTTTACATAAATATCTTTCTTATTCATTAGCATAAAGAAAGAATTAAAAGAATAAATAGTAAAAGGTCTTGATTCATATAAAATAATTCTCAAGTAGTGAACAACGAGAAGTAAGTGAAAGATCATAATTCATTTAGATAAATCTTTCCTTTAGTCATTAGCAAAAAAAAAAAAATCATACGAGAACAAATAGCAAAGGGTCTTTAATCATGCATTGTTAAGATCCATTAGTCATCTTTAAGAGCATCATTAATATATTTAAGCTCAATTTAAGATAAAAAAAATCAGCATTTGTATAAATATTTTTTAACAAAGAATGAGTTTGAATACCTTTTAATGTATCTTCAATAATTAGCTCCTTAAGATGTGCATCTATATACTTTCATTCCTTAAGTAAGATTTCTTTATAAGTAAATCAGAATTTGCATAAATATTTTTTAGCAAAGAATGAGTTTTAATACCTTTTAATGTATCTTCAATAATTAGTTCTTTAAGATGTGCATCTATATACTTTTATTCCTTAAGTAAGATTTCTTTAGAAGTAAGAAAGAAGAATCACCATTCAAATTTAATTTTTTAACTTTAAAATCATCATCAAAATTATTTTTCTTAGTTGTGAGAGATTTATCAAAAATAACATGAATATATTTCTCAATAACTAAGTATCTCTTATTGAAAATTTTATAAGTTTTAGAGGTAGAGGAATATCTAAGAAAAATACCTTCATCTGATTTTATATCAAATTTTTTTAAGACATCCATATCATTTAAAATAAAATATTTATAATTAAAAACTTTACATGAGATGTTGAGTCTTTTATTATTTTATAATTTATAAGGAGTTTTAGATAAATGAGGTCTTATATGAACCATTTTCATAGCATAGGAAATTGTATTAATGGTTTTGACCCAAAAGTATTTAGGTAGGCTACGTTCATTAAGTATTATCTTTGTCATCTCTTCTAAGCTCCTATTCTTTCTCTCAATAATTCTATTTTATTACAAATTTTTTGGAGTAGAGAAATTATAAGTATACCCATTCAAATCATAAAATTCTTAAAAATCATGATTTTTAAACTCACCATCAGAATCATTACGAATTAAAAAAACCATAAAATATTTTTATTTTGAACTTATTTATAAATTTTGGTAAAATATTTGAAACAATCATTTTTATTTGCTTAGAAGTATATAATCATCAATAATTACAAAAGTATATCTACTACATTCTAGACTTATAATATCAATAGGTCCAAATAAATCTATGTGAATTAGTTATAATAGTCTAGAGGTACGTACTTGATTTTTTATTTTAAAGCTACTATATATATATTTTCTTAGTTGGCACACATCACAAATTTTATATTTAACAAATTTAATTTTAGACATTCTTGTTACAAGTTATTTAATTTTAATTTATAAAATTAATTTCATACTAGCATATCCTAATCTCCTATACCAAAGTCATGCATTATCATTTAAAATTAAAAAATAAGTTACATCACGAAAATCATCAAGATCAATACTATAAACATTATCACTTCTTAAAACTATCATATATTTATTTATTTTTATTTCTATTATGCAAGCATGATATTCAAATTTAACATTATATCCCTTATCATAAAGTTGACTAATGCTTATTAAATTGTGTTCAAACCATCTACCAAAAGCACATCTTTAATTAAGATATTTGATTTGTTACTAATATTTTCAATACTAATAATTTTTTCTTTATTATTATCTTTGAATGTAACATATCCTCCATATTGACAAGTGAGTTTTAAGAAGTTTGTAGGATCTACTA